AAAATGAGCTTCGTTTATTGTGACTAGGCTATGTGGCAGCGGCGGGTCATTTGCTGAAGAAGCGCGAAGTGTGCAACAATTGCCTGTGTGTGACCGGAGGTAGGTCCTGAGTGGTGTTATAGTTCGTGTTGGAGAAATGAGAGAATCAATAAAAATAATTCAACAAGCTTTAAAAGCAATTCCTGGAGGACCATACGAAAATCTAGAAGCGCGTAAACTAAATAAAAAAAGATCTACACAATGGAATGATTTTGAATATCAATTTATTAGTAAAAAAATCATCACCTACTTTTAAAATCCCTAAACAAGAGCATTATGTTAGATTGGAAGCATCTAAAGGAGAATTGGGTATCTTCTTAATTGGAGATGACAATATATTCCCATGGTGACTATCCCGTATGGTTCGGAGGGAACTCGATTACCGCTGGCATGTTTTGCTCAGTGGGGAAGTTTCGCTCTATTGAATATACAAGCAATCGAAGGTAGGCTGTTGATATCCTGGTATCTTAGGCGTAGTGGAACCACACCAATCCATCCCAGACATTGTGGTGAAACTCTACCGCGGTGACAATACTGTAGAGGAAGCTCTATGGGAAAATACCTCGATGCCAGGATCACTTCTTCATCTTTATGATCATTCTTTCATCTTCATGGCGAAACTTTCAAGGCTACTTTTGGAGCAAGAAGCGAATCTGTTGTTTCGGAATTACAACAACTCATGAGTTCTCAAGAGGCTCTGCTGTCAGAGTTCTTGAAACAACATGAATACGTAGCATTAATTTGAGTTCAAGTACGCAAATGATTGGAGAATCATGTGTGAGTAAGGGTCTGATCCCACCTCTTTTCTTTTTCGAAAGAACGCAAAAGTGCCGTGAAAGGTGGAGGCGTAGCGCACGGAACGTCAAAGAAAAATGCAATCCCGCATCCCCTACTTCTGCGGGACGTTTCCTAACCAGGTGGCGCTATCTTGTGGCCCCTCCAGGATCCAACGGCCTGCACATCAAGAAAAAAAAAGGGAAAGAAAAAAACAAGGGCACCTTCTTTCACGGTGCAGGGTACGGGGGTGGCGTGACTGGCATCTTGGTTTTTGAAAGAACTACCGGTCCTCCAATTGTGCTCGCACTGCCACTTCTTTGAGAAAACAGGGCCACAACGCTGTTTCCACTTCTTTGAAAAAAACAGGGCAAAGAAGTAGGATCCCCAAATTTCCCCAAAAGTGCCTCACCTATAAGAAGTGGGACCAGACCCTAAGGACACTACAGCCATGTAGGGGGGTGTGGATATCATGGCCAGTATGGTTCCAGTACACTGTGTCATGGCCATAGTCGTTAAGAGACTTGGGTTTCGTGGCTGAGGGTGCCGATTCGATTCCTTGCATGCACGGATGGATCCAAAGTCAGAAAGTACTTTTTTTTCCCGGTTAAAGCCCTCTTGCAAGGCCTCTATTCCAGAGGGGGTAAGAGAACCACCACCAGGCGGACAAACAGAAAGCGATCACAGCCTTCACACAGAGATGCCGAACTGAATGGCAGAGGTGCAACGTGATGGGAAGCTGAGATGGAAAAACTTGCCCGTGGGTCTATAGACCAGCGAAGTGTTTCCCTACACCCCTCCCTGGACACCCAGACAGTGCACTGGATGACATGACAGGGCGACACGGAACAGGGCTGGTTCGAGGATGCAAGGGCTTACTCCCCTTCCCAGCTTCCCCTGCTCCCGTCCCAGCCCCCGCCTCCCGGCCCCCTCCCCCCCCCCCCCCCCCCCCCCCCCCCCCCTGCCATCCGCCTTGCCCCCGCACACCCCTACGTCTCCCCCCCCCGGTCCTCGGGGAGTCCCCACCGCCCTGATATTGACCCAGTTCAGCTGCCCTGATACTGACAATTAGGAAAGAAAGGATCACCTACAATGCAAGAGTGAAGAGTTGAAGAAGGGTCTGAGGTTAGCACACACAGGCAGCCTTCACAAGGTGGAGGCCGCCAGAGATACTGGGGGCCTGAGGACACCTGGAAGTAGAAAGGTCTAGCAAGCTACGGGGAGAGTTAGGGCAAGAAAGAATTGCAGGTAACTTCTAGGACCGGGCTGGGTCACACGATAAGAAGGAGCCCCGGGAAGGGAATAATGAGACTATCAGCAGGCGCGCGGGAAACAGGGTGCTCTAGACTAGAACGACAAATGGCCATAGCTCGATCATGAGCAGTATGGCTCAACTTTTGTACTCTGTGTCATGGCTGTAGTGGTAAACAGACTTGGCTCTTGTGGCCGCGGGTGTTTGATTCCATGCAGGCACGACGGATCCAAGGTCAGAAAGTACTAATAAAACCCCACCGCAGTCACTACTAGAAGTCTGATCTGCCTGTTCAATGACTACAAATGTGCCAAATTTGATGCGTTTACCAAGGTCACCAAATCAGGGCATCACCCCCATCTCATTTCAAACCACTTTATTGCAGCTCTACACCTGACTTTGATGATAATTTTAGTAACTGTTGCGTTTCACAAAACGAAACAAATGGAAAACTAAATATATAAAACCGCAGAAATATCTCACTTTCTGCCTTTTTTCCTTTATCTTTTTTTAATGGAGGTCTTTATGAACAGATGCCTCAGTGCCCAAGGCTTACATCAGGTACTGTGCAAGGGAGCCGATAGGTCTCCAAGTCCAACCGAACAGACAGAGGCCCACCCCTCTGAGAAACCGAACGGATAGAGGCCTGCCCCTATGAGAAACCAAATGTCCAATCCTGAGACACACAAGATGCACATGATTTCACTCGGGTCTGGGCCCATGATAAAGCTCCCCTTTGTAAAGGAATGAAAAAACAGAAAAAAAACAATCGCATGATTTTGCTGGGGGTAGCAGAACCCTACCTCGAATTTCCTCCACATATAGGACACAGCCAAAACTCCACACATCTTTGGAGGGAGGGAGTGCAGCCCGACCACTGCTGGATCTCATTCTGTCAAAATATCACATCTTCCGTCTGCATATACGTCATGGAAAAAACTTCACAGTCACACACACACACATACACACACACACACACACACACACACACACACA